TTTTTTTTTTTTTTTTTTTGTTTTTTTTTTTTTTATTTTTCCCGGAATTTTTTGCTCTTCCCGAGATTTTTTTTTCCCGACTTTCCGTCCTCACGTTCCAGACGCAGCCGAGGCTCTCGCAGCTCTCGCGGGAGGCGCCGGGGTTGGGGTGACAATCAAAACGTTCCTTCTCGCTCGTCGTCATCGACCAGCGAAGGGCGAAGGACTCGCCCAGCGGCAGCCGCAGCCCCTGCACCTCCGCAACCTGTAGATTAATTTACAACTCGTTAGAAATTTTATTTGGATTTTTTTTAATTATTTTAATTATTTTTAATTATTTTTATTATTTTTATTATTTTTTCTTGTTGGTGTTAATATTAAATTTAAAATTTTGAAATTTTAAAATTTTAAAATTTTAAAATTGTAAAATTGTAAAATTGTAAAATTGTAAAATTGTAAAATTGTAAAATTTTAAAATTTTACAATTTTAAAATTTTTAACTTTTAAAAGGTAAAATTGTAAATATAAAATTGTAAATATTAAATATCTAATATGTAAATATAAATATTGAAATTTTAGATATAAATTTAAAGAGAAATATAACTATTTTTACAATGTATAAATATAAATATACATATAAATTTAAATATACATATGAACATAAAAATAAATGCAAATATGACATTAAATAAAAAATATGAAATTAAATGTAGACTTAAATATAAAGATAAATATAAATGTAAATATAAATGTAAATATAAAATTAAATACAAATAAATATGAAATCATTGTAGACTTAAATATAAATATAAATGTAAATGTAAATATGAAATTAAATATAAATATAAATATAAATATAAATATAAATATAAATATAAATATAAATATAAATATAAATATAAATATAAATTCATTTCAAATTTCCCAATCCTAATTTTAAATTGAAATTTTAATTTAATTTTAAATTTTAAATTAAAATTAATTAATTTTAAATAAAATTAATTAAATGAAAATAAATTAGTAGTTGT